AATCAAACACTGCATGTTCTCACTCATAGGCGGATGTTGAACAATGAGAACACATGGACACAGGGAGCATCACACACTGGGGTCTGTTGTGGGGAGCTAGGAGAGGGACAGTGTAGGTTGGGGAGGTTGGGGAGGGATAACATGGGGAGAAATGCCAGATATAGGTGATGGGGGGGATGGAGGCAGCAAACCACGTTGCCATGTATGTACCTATGCAACAATCCTGCATGATCTGCACATGTACCCCAGAACCTAAAGTACAATTAAAAAAAAAAAAAGAAAAGAAAATTAAAAAAAAACAAAAACAAAAAGTGGAGGGAAATTTCTGAAAACAGACTTTCCAGGCAAGAAATGTTAAAAATGTTCCTCAGATAGGAGAAAAATACCAGAAACTTGGTCTACATAAAGAAAGGAGGGCCAGACCCAGTTCTTTGGGAGGCCTACACAAGTGGATCACTGGAGGTCAGGAGTTCGAGACCAGCCTGATCAACATGGTGAAATACTGTCTCTATTAAAAATATAAAAATTAGTCGGGTGTGGTGGCTGGCACTTGTAATCCCAGATACTCAGGAGGCTGAGGGAGGAGACTTGCTTGAACCCAGGAGGTTGCGGTTGCAGTGAGCCGAGATCACTCCATTGCACTCCAGGCATGACTCCACCTCACATATACTTTCAATAGATTTTATAGCAGCTATTGTTATAGGGTTTCTTTGGATAGTCTGCTTCTTGACATAATTCACTCCCTTCATTTTCTGTCATTTGGTCTCTTTTTATTCGTGAATTATTTTAGGAGTTCTTACTTCAAGCCACCTCAAATGTATATCAGAGTACTCACAAAATAGATAAATGGATGATAGATAATTGATAAATAGATGACAGATAATCTTCCTCAGTAAAGAATACAGATCTCATAATAAAAATTATTAATTTGTAGTCTCTTTCATTATATACTTTTTGGTTAACATCATAAAATGAAATGTTACTCATCCATTCCCTGTTACAACAGGATATTGTGTTTTCATCTTTGAAAACTTTACCTTAAACACTTTCTCCTACATGATAGCTTTAAAATACTCTTTCTTTTCAGAATGTGTTGACTGCAGCTGCTCTTCAGGGATCTTTTTCTCTGAGTACAGTACTTGTGTTTGTATCCTTGTGACACACATAGATGGAGAAACAAATGGCTACATTTTCAGTGTAGTGTTCCTGGGAGCTAATTAGAATCACAAGCAGAGGGAAACAGAGAATTGCCAGACTGCCCTTTCACTTACATTACTCTGATCATTTTGCTTTGTTATCATTTCTATACATCTTTCAATCTGTGGATGCAGGAGATGGTGACAGGTCAGTAATTAGGAGGCACCCATGAGATAAATGTGTTTCTGGTGTGGTTGTCTTCATGCATTTTCTTTTTTATCTTCGCTGCCGCTTACTGAAGGTGAATCTTAACCAAGGTAAATTCAGCTTGCTGGATGAAGGGCATTTCTTTTTGTCAAAGGAGATTAAAGCTATTCGAGCCAAACGCCTGCCATGCATATCTAGCAAAATATTTGAGTGTCATTTTTACTTCTAATCTGTGGCTCCTACTGCTATCAATATAGCTAATCATTGGTTCATTTTGCTGGAATATTACTTCATCAATGCAAATCTAGTGGGGAGGGGTAATGCCTGAAATATGACATATAGTCCTACTACAGCAGATGGGATTGTAAAAATTATACAGAGAGAATTAAAATGGTCTTACATGTACAATGAAAACATGCTTACTAAAAGCTCTTATGACTGTGATTTTCACTTTAATATCTGAAAAGAATTTTACTTCAACTAAGATAAATTTTCCTGTAAGGATTAGTTTTCAACAAACTTGGGTTCAAAGGAACTGCTTTCCTCCAGTTTTGTATTAGGACCCTTAGGCCATAGCAAGTAACAGGAAAACTTGGCTTTTAATACATGGTTAGTACTCATCAAAATTGCCATTCCTGGGAAAACAAGAAAAACCATGCGCATTTACTCATAGCAAGACAATAATGTGAAATAATTTTCTTCATGTAGTGCTAAATACATTATTGGTAGCCTGAAGTTATTATTCAAAGAATATAATGTCAGTCATTTTATCAAGCATAGTATGTAAATTATGTTTTTCTAGATTTTCTGTATGATTTTACCATCATTTATTCTTTCTCTTTGTGTAGCTCTTTCTTCTTTTTCTGAGAAAAAGTGCTATACTTTAAGAAGCAAACTATATACTACAAAAGGAAATGAAGAAAAAACTTCTAAGATCTTTCTGATCATTTAGTGATGCAGATTCCCAGCAAAGGTATCTCTACACTTTATAACCTGTCTGAAGACACTATTTTGTTACATTGGAGTTAAAAATAAATATCCATATCTCTGTTAGCTCAGAAGGACTTTGAAATATATATTGGAAATAGTTCTGTAAAAATGGTTGTAATACAAAGTAGAGTTAATCAATAAGCTTAATTTACTGTCAAATGGAACTTCATCAACTGATTATATATCAACAATGAACAAATAAGGATTTCTTTTTCTGTACATTTTCTGACAAGCAAATATTTATAATAAACATGTATTTCAAGCTCTGACAAAATATTATTTTTAAAATGTAAGATATAACAAGGTCATGGACTGATACAAAATTTAAAAATCTATCTATATCCATCTCTCACCCTCTCTAGATATAAAGATATATATACATTATATATATATACATAACTCTATCATCTATCTATCTATCTATCTATCTATCTATCTATCTATCTATCTATCTTGTATTAAATCCTATAATCACCATCTAAGACAAGATAATCTTCAATACTATTGGGACAAAAGGATGTGAAATACAAATGTTCTCCTAACTTTCAAAACCATGTATTTCTTGGGTCTTAAATTTTCTTGTGCTGGAAAGAAGAATGAATAGTTGAAACTCATAGAAAGATAATTCTGAAATAGTAGAAATTTAGATACCTTTTTGTGCCCATACATGCTAGAAGGATTATGAAACATTCATGCTGTTACAGATAAACTCATGTCCCAAAATCATGCACATATTTATGCCATGAATACATTGCAAAATTGCTTTTTCTGCAATTCAACTGAGAATTACAAGCTTAACAGTAACACCAAGCCTGTTTTAAGTGTATTGCTACTACCTCAAGAAAGATATAATTCCCAGGTTGTATCACATAAATGGAGGGCTATTGGTTTCAAACTTCCAGATGTTTTCTTTTCTTGAACCTCTGATGTACTATTGAGAATCTATTTGGATCCATAAGAGATGAGTAAAAGTTTGTGTTTAGTATTTAAGGTATGCTGATTCTGGACACTCATTTCTGTAGGATACTTATGCAAATTAGTAGATTATAGAACCAGTTCAGAATGAGCTTAATAATTTTCTGGTTTCATGATGATCTTGGATGATAGTTTGGAGGACAAAATGGATTTTGGCATTTATAGGCTATTACTGAGATACCACTATTTTATGCATGATATTGACCAATGATTCCACATATCTCATAAATCATAAGTTATAGAAAACAGGCATTTTAATACACTGATCACAAGAAAATAAACAATAAAGACCTTCCTCAATCTTAAAAATGTGGATCAGGGTTTCCAGATTCATAGTCAAGTTGATAATTTATCTTTGTAACCTCCTTTCATGGTCCTCTCCAAAAACGAGTATAGGAATTGAAAAGCTGTACTATGATAACGGTAAAGAGAATGATGGGGTACCTGTATGCACATGAGAAATTTTGTCAAATTAACTTGAAACCAGAGAAGATAGAAGTGGGCTGACAGGTGATTAAACCTGATCAGAGGAACCCTTAAGAGTCTGAGATTCTAAACAGGAAGAACCACAGATGCTGGCCATGAAAAATCTGGCTGGAGACAGGAGACTCAGTTAATGCTCTGCACATAAAAAGTCTCTCCACACCTCACCTGCATGCAGAATCCCACAGACAGATTTCCTTTTACTACTTCTGCTGTCTGTGTCTGTCTGTCTGACACACACACACTATTCTGTGCAGAAATAGAATGAACTGCATGATAAGAACTATAATAGCTAGTATATCTGGTGTATGAATAGGTATTACGGAAATAAACTTCAGGTGTTCAAACATTTAGCTCCCTCCATAGTAATGACCAGATCCTTGCACACTCAGTCACCTGTGTTGCTAGGTGTGCCTGACAACACAACCTTCCCGTGTAAGCTGAGTTCCCAGTCTGTTTGGCAACTGCCCCATTGTGTGATGATGAATAAACACTCAAGGCTCACCAATCAATGGAGGACAGTCTAGAGCACAGCAGAAGAAAAGAGGTATCTGTCAGCAAGACCAAGTGCACAGAGATACACATAGTTCTGGGGTAAGCAGAGAGGCCACGGAAAGTCACTTTTTACAGAGTGTCTGGTATCTTCAGAGAGTGCCACAAAGCTGTTTTAGCTTTATTAGAATTAAAAACGTAGTATAAAAAATGGAGAGTTGGAGAATGCAAAAGGACTTTTAGGCATTAGAAGTTCGCTGAAATAAACAATTCAGATATTTAGAAGTTAATATTGTAGAAATCATCCTGAACACAGAGAGGGATTAAAATTTTAAGATAACTGATGAGAAACACAAAGCAACAATCAAGTACATTTTCTGCTAATAGAAATCTCCAAAATAGAAGAGAAACATAAACAAGAAGAAATGGCCAAATAATTAAAATAGATTTTTTTAGGAATGAAAGGGACACTAGCTCTAGATTTAAATGTTTTACTGAGTGAAGAGCAGTCTGAATGAAAATGACCCATATGTAGACACAATCTTATTCCACAACTTTTTTAGTAAGAAGAATCCTGTAAAATTATCCCAGAGGAAAAAACAAAACAGAAATAAAGGACTGAAATTTTGACCAACATCAGACTTCTTTTCAGCAAGAGTGTCAGAGTGCTTCGACACTGACTCCTCAATGTGGATAGAGTTCTGAGGGAAAATTTCACAACATGAAATTTTTTATGTATTTAGATAAACTGCCAATCAAGTGATGAGCACAAAATAAAGATATTCCAGACAAGTAAGGAATCAGAAAAATCACAAATGCACTTTTATTGGTTAATTACCTGTTGACACAATAACTTTTAAAAAATTATACTTTAAATTTTGTGATACATGTGCAGAATGTGCACGTTTGTTACATAGGTATACACATGCCACGGTGGATTGTTACATCCATCACCCCATCATCTACATTAGGTATTTCTCCTAATGCTATCCCTCCCCTAGCCCCCCACCCCCTGATATCCCTCCCCTAGCTCCCCATAGCCCGACAGGCCCTGGTGTGTGATGTTCCCCTCCCTGTGTCCATTGTTCAACACACTTATAAGTGAGAACATGAAGTGTTTGCTTTTCTGTTCTTGTTTCAGTTTGCTGAGAATCATGGTTTTTAGCTTTATCCATGCCCTGCAAAGGACATGAACTCCTTCTTTTTTATGGCTGCATAATACTCCATAGTGTATATGTGCCACATTGTCTTTATCCAGTCTATAATTGATGGGCATTTGGGTTGGTTCAAAGTCTTTGCTATTGCAAACAGTGCCACAATAAACATGCATGTGCATGTGTCTTTATAATAGAATAATTTATAATTATTTGGCTATATATCCAATAATGGGATTACTGGGTCAAATGTTATTTCTATTTCTAGATCCTTGAGGAATCACCACACTGTCTTCCACAATGTTGGAGCTAATTTACATTCCCATTAACAGTGTAAAATGTTTCTATTTCTCCACATCCTCTTCAGCATCTGTTGACATAACAACTGAGAAGTAAATAAGGAAAAAGGAAAACACAGGCTCCACAAAACAGTGGCTCTATCTCAGGAGAGCAGTCAATATCAGCCATTAGTTAATAGAAATTGAACCAAGTAGGAAACAACCACTCTAGAGAGAGCCGAAGAAAATAGGGATCTTAGAGGAATGACACCACAGATTCCATGTGAATGAAAGAATAGTGTACCCCAGAGGTTGTCAAACCATGGCTTATTGGCCAAATTTGTCTCATCTCTTGTTTTTGTAAATAAAGCTTTATTAGAATACAGCCACACTCAATCATTTACATATGGTCTATGACTATTTTTATAACACAGCAATAGCACTGAGTAGTAGCAACAGAGACTGAATGTCTTGTAATGGCTAAAATTATTTACTATCTGCTCTCGATACAGGAAAAGTTTGCCAACGCCTGATGCTGGCAGTTGAATAATTGGAGAATTACAATAAAGTCACAGAGTTCAATAAAAAAGAGGGACAGTTAGGCACTCCAGGAAACTTTTAAAAAAACTGAATGTGAAGCAATAAGTCAACTTGTCTGAACAGGAGGTAGGACCTTAAAGAAGAAAAATGGAATGATTTCTACTTGATAGGTAGAATGCACAGTTACCCTATTAGAGGTATAATGAAGAACATATGTGCCTTATTTTTCAAGATAAAAAGATAAAATGAAATCAATATTATTGAAAAGTAAAAGAGGAAGAAAAGAACAAATAAAGGAAACCAAGGAAATTGTTACTTGAAAGGTGTGGTTCACACAAAAAGCATACTAAAATTGTCATAATTTTGAGTGTATGAATGTAGAGTGCATAGACACATGAGTCTTGATGTTGGTACCATGGAGGGGGAATGTGACCTTAGCTTATTACCTGCTTCTGCATTGAGTATATTTATGTCATTATAAAGTTGATAAATTTTTGGCTTGTAACATTGAGAATCAACTTAGAAAAAAAGCATTAAAAATGTCATTATAACTAGGGAAAAAATGCAAGTTTACACACATTCAACAACATAAAAGCCTGTCAAACAAGGGGTAAGAGATGCTGACAGTTCTGTGCTGCATCCATGCATGTGATGGCAAGAGGAAGGTGTTTTTAACGTCTTTTCACAATATGAGGCATTTCCTCATCCAGCACAAAGGAGCAAATGACTTTTCTCATTGCACACCAATGTATTTGTCTTGATATAAATCAATAAATTTTTCAATTCCTCAAAAGATGGACCTACTGTGCCATTTTATGTCCAAGTGAAACACACACACACACACACACACACACACATTCTCTCTCTCTCTCCTCTCTCACACACACTCACTCTTCTATGTAGATCTTTTTATTAATCTTTGCAGCATCTAAATGACTAATATGGTACTTTGCATTGTATTTTGTTTATATTGATGGAATTCAATTTTTACTTCAATAGTGTTTAAAACTCCATAAAACAGAGTATATTTCTGGACATTTACCTAGGCTGAATCTGTAGAATGAGCTTCGTCCAAACTAAAACTAAGTAAGAATGTTTTTCTTAAGAATTCAGTACCCTATTCATGGAAACTAAATTTTCGTATAAATAAAGTGAGCTGCCTTTTATTCTTATTCTTCCTGTTGACTAGAGGCAGGAACAATACAATGATTCAAAGTGAAGATCACTATGAGGCTGTTCACAGCTGTGTTGACAGCCATGAATCAAACTGTGAAGTTTAAGTATGTCATGTAAACATCTAAGTTACTAAGTAGATGTTTTCTTTGAACAACCTCTACTTAGTAGCTTAAGAACTCATGTCAAAAACTGTTATAATAGTTAGACTATAAAGGATATACTCTTTCTTTAAAATGAGAATGTTAAAGCCTTAATTAGAATTCAAATTACTTAAATTGATAATTTCGAAGATGATTTCAAATGATAGTCTTGAGTCATAAATGCAGCAGATCTTTAGATCTAGTAAGCCCTGTAGCCACAGATCTACCACCACCAGCACCCCTCAATCTTCTAGTGCTTGAAAATTTCCCAGTGTGCAACAATCTCCAGAGAGACTTTTCATTTTTCAGTAGATTGGCTTCTGAGTATGGCCATGGCCTAGAACCAAATAAAATCTTATATTGCAAGTTGTGCCTCTGTGAACATTGCTTGTGGCTCTGAGGAGCAATAGATCTGTGAACCTCCTGTCAGCCCTACTTGATAAAGATTTGCTGCTAATAGAACTAGTGACTTGGAGATGAATTACTTGGAAATGTTAAGGTGGTCGAAATCGGATAACTTTGTGTAAAGGGTCTACACAGATTTCTTTAGGTATTTATTTACTTTGTGGTTGAGCTCCTTATACTTTACTTCATACAATAAAGGCAGTAATGAATTAAGGACTTCATAGGCTCCATGATTTTATATTATTTTGCTTGGATTTAATCCCAAAAGCTATGTTACTAAAATAGGACTCAAACATATGGATAAAGTAAATAAAGTAAATAATGGGCAAAACAATGCAATGTACTGCCTTTGTTTCTCCTGTTTTTTGACTTTTAATATTAGCTCTGGTGGATTGAGTAACCCTTAGTACTACATAGTGCTTATCAGTGAGTGAAAACTATGAGTACATGGAGGAGGTAATTTTTTAAAATAATTGTATAAATTGTTTTTCAAACTAGCAGTGCCAGGTGAATTAATCACCTTAGCATATTTGAGAGAAGCTCCTTAAGTCCTTTCTATAATTTGAGTCCATATACCTTACAATAGTTGCGGGGGATTATTCTGCTCTTGGAATTTAATCAACAATTCATAACAAATATGTAACCTACTTGATCCTCTATTAATTTTGAAACCTGAAAAAAGTCACATAAATTGTTGCAAGTTTTCTTTCTCTGGAAACAGAAATTGAAAATAATATATTTTAAAGGAGTTGTTTTTCCATTGAAAGCACATACTTCATTGTGAATAGACAGATCTACAGAGGCTGCAGAGTTGAAAGACTGTATGCGAAGGGTCTGTACCACACATGTACTCAGAAAGGTTCTTTCAAGCATGCTGTGCACTGACTTAGCAATCCACTGGCAGAGTGATAACGAAAACAAAAGAAATATGTGACAACTATTTCACCAGCTTCTCAATATGTCAGGGAATAAACCCACGTGTTAAGGAAGTGCTCCAAGGCAATAGTGTGGATAAGAAATAATTTAACACTTTAACTTTTCCACATCTGTTAATCTCATATGATTCTAATGAAAGTATAAAATATGTTATTATCCTACTGGGTATGGAAGAAAAAATAACAGTCACTACTTGGAGAAGGAGATAAGAATAGAAATTTTATGTCTTGATCCTATTTTATTTCCATCATACCACACTAAAATCCTTCAGCAAAAAGCTCTTTGCTTAATAAGATTGAATTTTAAAATAAACTGCATTATCAAAGGTAGAAATAACATAGGAAGCACTTAGAAATGATGGGGCTTTGCCCCATTTGATCTCTTTACTTCCTCAGCTTAATCCTAATCACCTAGGTGGGCAATGCAAATATCCCTATCCTTCAGTAGAGTAACATGGCACTTTTTAGAAATTTATTATCTGTATGATCACCATCAAATAACAATCTCTCAGCTTTAGTTTCTCTGTCAAATATGTTTAACAGTAATCCTTGCCTTGCAGGTAATCATTAGCAATTGAATATCTTTAAAACACAGAGGACAATCAATCTAGAGAGAAAATCTCAGAAAACATCCTTTTGGCAGGCCCATACCAGCCCACGCAAAATCGATACCCTCCCTTCTTCCCTCTCAACCCTAAAATTATTTGTCTGAGTTAACATCAACCTTTCCAGATTCTGTTGTCATCACTCCAGTACTGAGTAGACCAACACTTCACCAAAATTTACCTGCACCATTCTTGTTAAAATGAATCCGTTTCTTGAAAACAGTTTCTTGATACAGTAGTTTCATGTAAAATGTATAATATAGCAATATTAGCATTTGACACAAATTAATGCAGGCCTGACTCCATAAAGTTCCAATTTCAGGGCATAAGTGAAAGGAAAGATAAGTGTTTCCAGCACATCATGTCTCCTAGTAATACACTTTTTAAAATGTCAATATTATGAGTAAATCCTTACCCTTTGCTAGAGAAAATGACTTTCATGCCAGTAATGAAGAGAATCACTTATGCTATGTTGAGTGATTCTTAATGATCAATAACAATACTTAGCACTTACGTAGTAATTTTCATCTTAAAACCACTTTACTGGCATTGAACAAATTCAAAGATGCTGTCATTTTCTCTCAAGAAAATCCATGGGATGGGATTGTAGTTTACTTTGCCATTCAAGATTGCAGGATGTGAATTGTGGAAGCAGGTACTTTGCACAAATCACGGGGTGCCAGACCATTTTAGGCAGCTAGAGAGATTATATCAACAGTTAATTTTATTGTTTGTAAAAGTAACAGATCTCTACTGTCAAAAATGTGAGAATATGCCAAAATATGAAGAAAAATTACATAAATTACTCTTAATCCCATTATGCAGCAATAGACACCTGTGTAATAGCAGTGTCTTCCCATTTTTGAATGTATATGTATCACATTTATGGCATATATATTTGTTTGCTTTCACATTGCTATCAAAAACTACTTGAGACTGGGTAGTTAATAAAGTGGTTTAATTGACTCACAGTTTTGCATGGCTGGAGAGGCCTGAGGAAATTTACAATCATGGTAGAAAGCAAAGAGGAAGCAAGGCATGTCTCACATGGTGGCAGGAGAGAAAAAGAGAGGGAAACTGCCACACACTTTTAAACTATCAGATCTTGCGAGAACTCACTATCATAAGAACAGCATGGGGGAAGCTGCACCCATAATCAAATCACCTCCAACCAGGTCCCTCCTTTAACACCTGGGGATTACAATTCAAGATAAGATTTGGGTGGGGACACAGAGCCTAACCATATCAGCATATGAGTTTATTTTTTGTAGTTTATTTTAAGGACAGTGTATTAGTCTGTTCTCATGCTGCTAATAATGACATACCTGAGACTGGGTAATTTATAAAGGAAAGGAGACTTAGTGGACTCACAGTTCCACATGGCTGGGAGGCCTCACAATCATGGCGGAAGGTGAAGGACATTGGCAGCAGGCAAGAGCGCATGTGCAAGAGACCTTTCCTTTATAAAACCATCGATCTTATAAGACTTATTCACTATTACAAGAACAGCATGGGAAAACCCTTTCTAATGATTCAATTATCTCCCACCAGTCCTTCCCACAATGTGTGGGCTTTATGGGAGTGAAAATTCAAGATGAGATTTGGGTAGGGACACAGCCAAACCATACAGTGTATATCCTTTTTAAATGTGATCATAATAAATGTCTGGTTTGCAGCCCTGACTTTTCAGTTAGAAACAGATATGGACATTTAAAAAAAAACTTTTCAAAGTGATTCTTAATGCCCATATGATATTCTGTTGTATGAATGCATTAAAACTTACTTTGTCATTTTGACTTAGACATCTCGGTAGTTTTCCTTTTCCTTTTGTTACTATATATAACAGTAATGATTATCTTTTCACACATTTTCTGCCTTATTTACTGACTAGCAATGTATCTGTTAGCATGTCCCATTTCCCATCTGTACTCTTCCTCCTCCCCACAATTTGGGTTCACTATTAGAGACTGTGGGGTAATGAATTAGAGATTTTAAAACATGGGTACTGTCTCATGATTCTGGAAAAGTGCTTTGGTAGCAGACTCCAGAGTGAAACAACCTGAATTTCCATCAAGTAATTAAAAGATAAACAAAATGTGGTATTCTATACAATGAAATATTATTCAAACATAAATAAGAGTGATGAAGTTGAAATTGGCCCAATTTTCCCATAGAACTGAAACTTGAGAAATGTACATTTGTTTTACGTAAGTTCCTTTCTCAGGAAATTGACCAATAATCAGGGCTCCCAGATAGTATTAAGGGACTGAGCCTTCCCAGATCACCACATCTAGACACTGAGATGCATCTGCTGCCTGTTGACCAACTTCTCTTCCTTACCTCTCCCTAATTCTCCACTATATAAACCACTAACTTAAGTCAGTTTTGGAGATGGGCTTCAGACTGGTCTCCAGTCTTCCAGCTGACATCACTTGCATTAAAGCCTTTTTTCCTTGCCAATACTCATTGTCTCAGTGATTGGCTTTCTGTGAGGTGAGCTGCTGGACCTAGGATAAACCCCTGGCATTTGGCAATATAGTGATACCTGCTACAATATAGATGAACCTTGAAAACATAATGCTAAGTGAAAGAAGCTAGTCACAAGGACTACATAGTATATGACTTCATTTATATAAAACGTCTGGAAAAGGCAAATCTATAAAGACAAAGTCAGTCAGTGGTTGCCAAACCTCGATGAGAAGAGAGAATGCGGTACAGTACAAGCTAAAATTGTACAGGACTTTGTTTTATGATCAGGAAAATATTCAGATGGCTGCACAATTCTATGAATATACTAAAACAATGAGTTCTATACTTTAAATGGGTGAATTGTACACTATATGAATTATATCTCAGTAAAGCTGTTACAAAAATATACTATAAGCCATTTGATAAATTAGAAAACCATGAATCCATATTGATATAAATGAAGGAATGGATCAATTTACAGTTTGTTGAGTAACAGAGCATTTCATAATCTCAAAGTACCTTCACAGAACCAATTTAGAAAACTCATCTCTAAGATTCTGTTCCTTGTAAATCACTTCCAGTATCTAAATCTCTACCAGTCAGATCAGGGTTCTCCCAAGAAACAGAACTAAAGGAATAGATATATAATTAATTAATAGTTACTAATATATTATACACATATATTAAGAGATATATTTCAAGGAATTGGCTCATTAGATTGTGTGGGCTGGCAAGCACAGAACACACAGGGAAGGTCATAGGATGGAAATTCAGGCAGGAGTCGATGTTGAAGTTCTGAGGCTGACTTTCTTCTTCATCAGTTTTGCTCTGAAAGACTTTCTCC